AAAAAATTTTGTAAGCAACCTGTTGTACCGTGCAACAAGGGTTTCTCGAGTTTCTTGGTATGGATTACTCGAGTTTCGAGGTTACTCGAGTTTCGAGGTCATGGGTTACTCAAGTTACTTGGTTAGGAGTTACTTCGGTTACTCCTTATCGAGTAACCCGTGACCGAGTAACCCCTCGAGTAATCATAACTGCACCCCTTGAGTAACCCCTAACCAAGTAGCCTCTCCCCGTCAATTAACCCTTGATTGATTAACCCCTAACCTAACTCCTTATATAACCCTTGACCGAGTAACTCGGGTAACCACTGACTGAGTAGAACTCGAGTAACCCTTGATTAAGTAACTCGAGTAGTTCCTGACCAAGCAACCCCTCAGGGTAAGTTTATTGCAAGTATTGAGCAAAGTCTCAACATGGGTCTTACTCAAGATTCTTACAATAAACTCATCTAAGACTCATGTGAGTCTTACATGGAGTTTGGAAAATCCAAACCCATGTCAAGACTTTGCACGCCCAATGAAAATTAGCCACCTCACCAACCAAAAGTTTACAATAATTTTTAAAAAAATAAAAAAAAGATATTTTACAAAAAAATAAAAATATTTTGAAAATGATTATATGAGTTTGGAGTGAGTCTTGGGATAATGTGTAAATTTGGAGAAAGTCTTGTATGAATCTGAATAATATAAAAGTATTTTAAAGTTAGTGAAAAGCTGATGTGGCATAGTTTGAAGTCTGGGTCCGGGTCTGGGGATAAACTCGCCCTCAAGTGAATCCTTGACCAAGTGAACCCCTCGAGTAACCCTTGTCCGAACCCCGCAAGTAACCCTTGACCAAGTGAACTCTTTGGGTAACCCTTGTCCAAACCCTTCAAGTGTAAACCCTGACCAAGTAACTCGGATAATCCCTAACTCAAATAACCCCGCCACAGTTCATTTCGTAATAATTGTAACACTACTTTTTTTTTTTGGTAAGAGGCCATGACTATTTTATTTTTTCTCTTTGACCAACCCCATTTACACTTTTTTTTTAAATTATTTTTCTCTCATACGAACAAATAAATATATCCCACCACTTATACTTTATATTATAAAATCACAAATTTTTCTATGTAGCCTATTGTACCGTGCAACAAGGGTTACTCGAGTTTCTTGGTATTAGATTACTCGAGTTGTCGGGTTACTCGAGTTTCTCGGTCAGGGGTTACTCGAATTGCTGGGGTTACTCGAGTTACTTGGCCAAGTGTTACTTGAGTTACTCCTTATATCGAGTAACCCCTGAACGAATAACCCCTAATAACCCTTGGCCAAGTGTACCCCTCGAGTAATCCCTCAAGTAACCCCTGATAGGGTAAACCCCTCAAGTAACCCCTGATAGGGTAAACCCCTCAAGTAACTCTAGTCCCAACCCCTCAAGTAACCTTTGACCGAGTAACTCGAGTAACCTCAGACTAAATAACTCGGGTAACCCCTAACAAAATAACTCATGTAACCCCTGCCACAATTCGTTTCTTAATAATTGCAACACTATTTTCTTTGGCAAGAGTCCACAACTATTTTATTATTTCTCTCTGACTAACCCCATTTACACTTTTTTTTATTATTATTTTTTCTCATGCAAACATATAAAGCATGTTGCACCGTGCAGTAAGGGTTACTTGAGTTTCTCAGTATGGATTTACTTGAGTTGCCGAGGTTACTCGAGTTTCTCGGTCAATGGTTACTCGAGTTGTTGGGGTTACTCAAGTTATTTGGTTAGGGGTTACGATTTGAGTTACTCCTTATCGAGTAAACCCTCAAGTAACCCCTGAATGAGTAACCCCAAAGTAATCCACGGTTGAAACCCTCGAGTGACCCCTTTACTGAGTAACCTCTCCCCATCAAGTAACCCCTGATTAAGTAACCCCTCAACTAACCCCTGACTGAACCCTCAAGTAACCCCTGGCTGAACTCCTTAAATAACCCCTAACCAAGTAACTTGAGTAACCATTGCTCAAGTAGCTCGAGTAACCCATGACCGAGTAACCCCTCGATTGAGTTACTCCTTATCGAGTAAACCCTCAAGTAACCCATGACCGAGTAACCCCTCAAGTAACCCTTGACTGACTGACCGAGTAACCCCTCAAGTAACCCTTGACCAAGTTAAGCCCTCGAGTAACCCCTGATCAAGTAACCCATCAAGTAACCCTTGACTGAGTGAACCCCTCGAGTAGTCCTTGCCATAACCTGACAAATAACCCCTGACCGAGTAACTCGAGTAACCCATGACGTACTAAATAACTCGGGTAACCCCTAACAAAATAATTCAAGTAACCCCTGTCACAGTTCGTTCCATAATAATTACAACACTACTTGCTTTGATAAGAGTCCATCACAACTATTTTATTATTTCTCTCAAACCAACCCTGTTTACACTTTTTATTTTTTTCTATCATTTCTTTCTTCTATGAACAAATAAATATATCCCACAAACTATACTTTATATTATAAACTCACAAATTTTTGTATGTAGCCTGTTGTACCGTGCAGCAAGGTTACTTGAGTTTCTCGGTATTGGATTACTCGAGTTGTCGGGGTTACTCGAGTTTCTCGGTCAAGGGTTACTCGAGTTGCTAGGCCTACTCAAGTTTCTTGGTTAGGATTTAATTACTTGAGTTACTCCTTATTAAGTAACCCATGACCAAATAACCCCTCGAGTAATCCATGACCGAACCCCTCAAGTAACCCCTGATTGAGTGCCCCTCAAATTACCGTTGACTGAACTCTCAAGTAACCCCTAACCTAACTCCTTAAATATCCCTTGAACAAGTAATTTTGTCCCTATTTATTTATTTATTTATTTATTTATTTATTTTTGTCTCTCTCTATCTCATCCTCTTTCCTTCATAACCCATAAATCTATCTCTCCCATTTTTTCTAACTCTTTTCCTCCCAGCCTTTATCTCTTCTTCTGGCCTACCTCCTCTCTCTTTTGAACTGGTATCTCTGTCTTTCGGCCTGCCCTATTTCTCAGTCCTTCTTTGTCTCTCTCTTCAAACCCTCCGTTTTCCTAGTTCCTTTTTCTCTCTCTTTTGACCCTTGTTTCTCTACCTCCCTTTCCCTTTCTCTCCTTCTCCCCTACCTCTCCTCCTCTATCTTTATCTTTCTCTTTCTCTCCTTCTCTCACTGTGGTTGTACACACATAAAAAAGCACTTACTCATGAATCTAACACAATTCTAACATAATGTTTAACTTTTATGTTAAATGTGCTACTATTAAGATGACTTGTCCTTGTTCCATCTTTTAAAAGGCTTTGAACACTATAAAAGGCTATAAAAATTTCCAATCTCTCATGCCCTTATTTCATCCTCTAAAAGGATTTGACAATTATAGGTTGCACTTGATCCCTATCTCCATAGCCCCTTCCCCCAACCCTTTTTATATTTCTTAGTTTCTCTTTTTCCCTTTTATATTTCTTAGTTTCTCTCTATCTCCCCCTTTCTTCCGACCTCCATTTCTTTCTTTTTCCCTCAACACATCTCTCTCTTTATCACTCTAATATATCTCCCTCCCTCTCCCAGTCCTAGTTTTTCTTTATTAATCTGTCTCTCTCTCTTCTGGTCCCTCTTTCTTTTTTTCTCTAAAACCCTTTCCTCTCCCGGCTTGCCCTCTCCTCTCTCTCTTTTAGCTTGCTCTTTATCTCTCTCCCAACCCCACTCTTTCCCTTGGCCCCTTTATTTTTCTTGCCTTTTTTTTTTCTCCCGCCCCCCTTTTAAATTTAGTTAATTAGGGAAGAGAAGTTAGAAGGATGACTATAATTCTTGTATTTTTAAATTAAAAGAGCTATTTCATAAATGTTTATGTCAAAATCTTCTTAGCAAAATTGAATAAAGACTCTTAATATATTTTCTTATGATATGGGTGATAACATTATTCAATCTAGAATTCTTGTTTATATCATCTATTGTTTGTATTCTCAATTGATTAAATTATAACAAAGCTTATTATTCTTAACATATAAATAAAATTTGAAGTCTATATGAATTTGTATAGATTAAGAAGGAATAAGCTCATTAATTCTTACAAGATCAAACATATATACTACCTCCGTTACATAATAGTTGCAACTATGAGAAATAAAATATTCTAAAATTGCAACTAAAATTTGAAGTCTATATGAATTTGTATAGATTAAAAGGGAATAAGCTCATTAATCCTCACAAGATCAAACATACTACCTCCATTACATAATAGTTGCAACAACAACAACAACAACAACCTATAATAATAATAATAATAATAATAATAATAATAATAATAATAATAATAATAATAATAATAATAATAATAATAATAATAATAATAATAATAATTGAAATAATAATACTAATAACAATAATCAATAAATAATAATAATAATAATAATAAAAATAATAATAATAATAATAACAATAATAATAATCAATAAATAATAATATAATAATCATCATCAATAATAATAATAATAATAATAATAATAATAATAATATTGATACAATTCATTGTTAAAATAGGTTAGATACATGTAACTGTTTTTTGTTCTTTTGTCATAATACTATTTTATTTTTAAATTAAATAGTATATGTGTTTAAAATGTTTAGAGGTTTCAAGTTTTTAATATATTTTCCATAAATTTTATAATTATATAGTATATTTTTTGTAAATATTTTAATATGTACATTTGTATATACACATATATATAGTATTAAATAATCAATAAATAATCAAAGATCACTAATCCGTAGTTAAAAATCACTAATTAATAAGTTCAGTTCAGTTCAGCTCAGTTGAGCTAAGTTCAGTCAATCGGAACAGGCCCTAAGTCTTACCTTGAAGGCCCGTAGTAGGAGGCCCCAAAAATGGTCAAACACTCATATTTTACAAATGAGCTTTAAAATGGCCGTCTATCGATCATAAAACATAGCGTTTGACAAATGTTTTTAGGGGAGGGGATGAGATGATCATATTAGCCATGACATTTAAATGAAAGGAATCCAGTGGTTTGGCTTTGCATAATTAATATAAACATACATAAGAAATTCCTGTGTTACAAGCCAAACATTCCTGATTTTCTTTAAGGTCTGAATTCCGGTAATGTAAAAATTAATAACACACATAGGAAAGCTTCTCTGAACTTCTAGACAGTAGCATTGGCTTCAGGCATTGTTCAAATTAAGATGCCACTTGGTCGAAGCAATGCTCAAATATTTGACAAATCTCACTATACACCCAACTTAGTCGACCATGAATAATGCAAGGCAAACTGCAAATATCAAAGAGATGCAAATAAAAGGAGCTTAGCTTATCAACACAAAAGCATCTCCAATAATAAACAAGAACCTATAATATCAAAAGCATCCCCAAGTAATCATGATCCATGAGCAAATAGACAAATAACAGACACGAACCTATAATATCAAAGTAGCTACTAATCCAAGTTCTCCTTATTAGAAACCCATCTTCTGTCAAGCTTCCCAGCCACAACCAGTTAGCCTACCCAACCAAACCCGACCTCTTGTGGTAATAGAAGTAATACTCAACCTTAGAATGGGGCAGAAGCATCTCCTTGTCTTCAAGCTACAAACCCAAAACAAAACCCATCATAAACCCTTGATCTTACTATACCCTAAACCCTAAAAGGTGAAAGACAGAGACCCCGACTTCACCATTGCTGCTTAACACCCCTTATCGTACTAAAATCTGAACCCAAAATTCTAAATTATTCTTTTAAACAAATCAAAACTCAACTAACCCAAAAAAGTAACTAAAACATATAAGGTTAATATCAATATAACCTTTCCAGTAACAATATGACAAGGCATATAACAGTAATTTTTCAAGGGCTAATTATATTGACAAACTACTGTCATAATTATTGTCGATGGCCATTTTAGGGTAGAAAAACAGAGAAGATGAATATACTTGAGCCTTTTATAGGCCATCAGAAGCTTCTAGAATAATTTTCCGCTCCACAAAAATGTCAGTTGACTGCAACCGTCTCTTGAAATGTAGTGATGGTTTGCCAACTTCACTAAGAACAAGGTAACAGCTGAAAGCCTAGACCAATAGAATATAAGATATATGGAAGCTCCGTAGAAATAATTACATTAACCCATGTTTTTATTCCACCGCAAACACCTTAGACAATCATCAATCAGATAAAAAACATGTATAACTAACTGTGTAACACAAATAATCAAAAAGAAATAATAAAAAAAACAAAGGTGAAAAAACTAAATCAACACAAACAAACCTGATAGAACCAAAAGGTCGTTAAAATTGACATTGTTCTGACGATTATGGAAAGAGCACTCATGATTCTCCTCGAGAAGCACCAAAAGGTCATTTAAATTGAGAGCCAGAGAAGCTCTCATCTCATAATCTCACGTAAAGCAACTGAAACAAGATTTGCGAATTTCTTAACATGCAAAGCAAATAAGACAAGCAATTGCATAATCCTGAACATGTTGGGCATTTGGGACAAGAACAATTGCATAACCCTGAACAAGCTGGGCATTTTGGACAAGAGTATTTAAATTCGCAACTACAACAGTCTTAAGTATGGAAGAGACTTTAAGCTTTTTCCTTCAATTCTCAATTTAATAGCAATAATTTTTTGTAAGCTCAAAAAACAGTTCATTAATTAAAAATGTGAACTGCTTAAATTATAATTATCACATCCTAAATTAAAATTCTTCAATACTATTACTCTGCCGACAATTTGTTATCATGTTTTCTATCTTGTATGATTTGACTGGAATTAACTATCTTTAGGCAAGCATGTGATGTATAATTTATATTATAACTTTCAGAGAAAGAGCTTAGATTGTTCTGCAATATCTCAAAAGACAAATCAAATGAGGAAATCTCCCCAAAAACATTCATATCATCATATGATATAAGATTATGAAAAAGCTCGAAGCTCACTGACTTACATCTGTTTGATGTGATGCACCTGCTCAACAGATTATCAAATCTGAGGGGTTCCTCCAAACTTGAAATTTTGAAATGGATAATAACGCAATAATCAACAAAATTATAAAATTTATAACATAATAATCAAACTCCTAAACAACATAAAATTATATTTTTTTTAAAAAAATCAAAAATTAACCTGAGAATAAGAAGAATTTTATATTAGTCTTACTTCTTCATTTATCACACAAATACTCAACAGAATTCAACCTCAAACTCCACCCACGGTACAAAGGAGAAAACTACAGTGAGAGCCATCGATGGCTTAGGTGGAAGGATCGCTTCCAATGCTTTAACCTGATCAGGGTTAAAAGAATCGGCGAACTCCACTGTGAAATAGATGTACATCTTGCCCTTCATGAATGGCCTCTGGTAAATTGACATACCCTCATCATCAATTGCCTTGAATTGATCTGCTCGGACATACCAACAAAAAAAGATGCACATTTAGTAGTGATTTGGGATGATCAAAATTGAAATATTGTCATTCTACTAAAATTCAAAATGCTCAGGTCGAATAAACTTGAATATTTCCAACAAGATACAAACTTGAATATTTGATAAGAAGTTGCCTTCCATCAAGGTGGGTCAGCACAAATCTAAAGCCACAAAGAGCTTTAGTCAGGCTCAGAGTATGCTCATAAAAGAGATCTTCGCCCTTTCTCTTGAATTTAGGACGATCTTTCTGCTCCAGGACAAAGACGATATCTCCGGTGACAGTATCAGGCTGCAGATAAATAGAGAAAAGGCGTAAGCCTATCAGCCAACAACCTATACAAACTGTATCAAACCAACAACAAAGAGAGGTTTATGACATACAGCTTCATCAGCCTCTCCAGGGAAAGTAATTTTCTGTCCATGTTGCATGCCCTTCTCCACAACAACCTCTAAGACCTTCTTCTCCTGCACAACCTTCTCACCTTTGCATTGAGGGCACCGATATTTGTCATTAATTGTCTCTCCAGTCCCTTTGCATTCATTGCAAGGGTGCTGCATTTGCTGTCTCATTGAGGGGCCCAGATGTCTAATAATAGACACCTTCATACCAGTACCTTGACATCCAGAACACTTCATGGAAACTCCAGATTTTGATACTTTGCTGTTACATGTATAAATAACAATTAAGTTAGGAATGGATCAACAAATGGGAGACAAAGCTCTGAAAACAAATCATATATATACTTACCCAGTACACTTCAAACATATTACATTACGAGAGAGGGAGAGCTTCTTTGTCGTCCCAGTAAAGAGATCTTCAAGTGATACCTTCAGAGGATGAACTACATCCTCTCCCGGCCTTTGCCTTCTTCCTCGGCTACTACCACCACCACCTAACCATCAATAATAATTACTTGCTGCAACAAACCAAAGATCTATAGCTTTAAATTAAGAAAATTAAAAAAAAAAAACATACAGCTTCAACTTTACTATTTACAATAGCATCGTTTATTCCAGGATCCCCACTACATTCACAGCTTCCACAGCCATGCATAGCACATGAACAAGGAACGTATTAAACAGTGCAACATAGTTGTCACCAACATAGTCCCAAACATGCCTAGTTTCCAAGTCCAGGGAATAACAATGTTGTGTTTCTTTCCAATGCATAATAGCATGGCCCTCTTTATACCTGGATTAAATGCTTCCTGGTCAAAAAATTAACAATTAGAATATCTTGTCTATTTGACAGGTATATTACATATATTGTTTGATGTTTTTATTTTGATTTTTTTTTCTTGACATTCCTTTGGCCATTTGAATAATGATAGCAGTTTCTTAGCATTAGCTACTTGAAAGTTGAAACTCGGGGTTATAGTCGTTATACAATGCAAAATTTTCTCATAACAGAAAGAGTTATTACTTTCCACAACCCACAAAACCACATATTACGCATATCCACAAATTCTCTAAGGTTTGACAAATGTGTTGAATTATCAGGTTGCTGCTGGCAATATCGACAAAGCTATTTGATGACCATAACAGAGTAATAATTAAAATCAGCAATACCTTAGCAGAATAGCAGCACATATCGGAGAAAAGGTAGATATTCCAGGGTTGGTACCTCTAATTCCAGAACTGGAAAGGCAAAACAATGATCAATAAATCTCCAAATAATTTCAAGCTAGCAAAATCACAAAGCAGGAAACCAACAAGACAACTACCAATCTTGGGGTTTGGGGGAAGGTAAAACTGAATCATGGCACCAAAATTTCACAACCCTGGCTTATATGCTTGGTAGAAGTAACAAAATGTTCCTCATTAGTTATATGAAAATTCTGATTTATAGAAGTTTTTAAATAAAACAAGCACTTAAGCTATAGGCGCAATCGCACAAAATATACTCAAATAGAAATAGAGTAATCAACACACATAAAAGTTACAATGTTTTACTCGGGGAGTCTGAAGTTCTGAACTCTAAGCATGTGACATCGATTTTCAGTTCTTAAAGAATGAGCAACATAAGCACACCAATAGCACACAAAAAAATTGTAGTACAAATTCAAAAAGATGAATATCTACCAGTCATTTTGTGTAGCCTCGAACTGTTTCCGTAGCTCATCGTCCTGAAAAATAAAACGATGAAAAGAACGAAAGATTAAAATCAAAAGTCAGATAAAAAATTAAGAAAATGGAAATGAAATTAAAGGCTGGCCCTATTAAATCCATAGGAAACCCCAAAAAACGGCGACTTCGAATCCATAGGAAGGGAGCTTGAAGACGAAAACCCCGAACTCTTGAAAATTACAAAAATCTAATGCACAAAAACAAAATTAAAATTAATAAATCATCAACAAACACATAATAACACTCATTAAAATCATTACAAATCCAAATAAAAATTATGGAGTACAAAAGATTGACGAACAATTGAGGGTTAATATAGAAGAAAATCCAAACTTTCTACACAAATTGAGGGTTAATATAGAAGAATATCAGCAGAACTAATTCAATTGAAAAAATAATAAATAATCAACAAACCCAGAACAAATATTGCAACTTTCACACATTTTCATGTACCAGAAACCCTCAAAAACAAAACAAAAATCCCAAAATTAACAAGCTGGATTGAAAAGGAACACAAATAGATGTAAAGAAAACAAATGGATCAAGCACATTCACATTGAAGAAAGAGAAAGAATGAAAACCTCTTGTTCGGAAAGAGGCTTGCACTACATAAGCTGACCAATCAAATCGACGTCAGTTCGTTCAATACAGAATGGATGTGCAGTGGTGTGTTGTGGTGGTGCGCGTTTAGAAAGGAGGGTTTTGAGCGTTTCTCTAACCCTTTTTGATAGATTGACGGCGATCTCGCGAAGGAAGGAAGGAGAAAAAGGAGGTATACAGATGATTCGAGAGGAGAGAGAAAGCCAAAGGAGAGAGAAACCACTGAGTTTCTAAGCTGACAACTCCATGTGCAAAAAAATGAGGGCAAAAAAGGAAGAACAGTATTCAACAAGAACAGAAATAAAAAACTGCGGGGGTAAAAGAGACTATAGACACCCATTTGTGTCTCCCCAAAACCAAACCCGGTGATGAGTACCTTTTACGTCGAATTATAATCGAATGAAACGAAAGTGTGGAAGGTCTAGTGTTGCGGAAAGTTTTTAATTCTTTTCTCTTCTCCCTGTTTTTGAAAACTTTATTTTAAGAAAACAGTCAATCTAGTTTGGTTGGTCCATAATATGGGTTCGATAATGGTGTAGTTGGATGGGGCTTGCAAAGACATTTCCAACGATATATTATAAGCCCAATTCCGATGAATATTGAGGAATTTATGGCCAATTTACTAAATTGGGCCCAATTTGAGTTTTATGTGCGGTCCAATGATCTAGGGAGGGCCTAATATGATTTATCATTCCTAATGCCATTAGGAATGGTTTTAGTCTTCTAGAATCTTCTAGAAGGTTCTTTTCATTCCTAATTCAATTAGCATTGATAAGTTGACTTTGTTGACTTTTCAGAGTTTTAATCAAGATCAAATAGCATTTTCGAAGAAATTATATTATTTTATCTTCCAGTACGGTAAATTTATCAGATTTTCGAAAACGCGTTGAAATTCAGTTTGGCGTCCAAACCCAGGCCTTGGCGCCTGGAACCAGGCTTGGCGCCAGACGCTAGCCATTGGCGCCTGGCGCTAGCCAATGGTACCTGGCGCCAGCTAGCCAGGGTTGGCGCCAACCTCGTTTTGCGATCGTCAGACTCTGTTTTGTTAAATTATCTTTTTTGGCTGATTTTCTCTATAAATATCGTATCAAAAACTCCGTTTTCGATAACCAAATTTCACCAATTCTCTTCATTCGCAAGCTTTCATCCATTTACAATCATTCATCTACGATCATCATCTTTCATTCACCAATTCTCCACAAACATTAATTCTTTAGCGTTCTTTAATTTCTTCAATTCTTTCTTACTTTTTCATACAAAATTCCGCATTCACAAGATCTAGAAACACCTAGCCATATTCGAAGTTACCTTCGCCCTAGACGTGAAAGGTTTTAATTTCTGAGGGTTTGGTCCCAAATCTCTCTTTCGATTATTTAATTTAATTGTTTGTTTATTATTTTCCTTGAAGTTACTAACGTGTGTATTTTGTTATTAGAAAGAGGTACGAGGCATCAAAGTAAGTGCTTTAATTGATATATTGGTATTATGATGTAGAAATCATGTTTACATTGTTGTTATGATATTCCTAGTATCATGCCTAAGGTATTTTTAATATTAAATATGATTCCTGTGATGCTTCCTATGTTCTTCCTAATATTAATTCATGTTAGTATCATGTTAGGGTTAAAGATATGATTTTTATTGCTTAGTGACATGCTAGGGTTTGTTATTAATCTTGTTAGTATCATGCCTAGGATCTTGTTATTCCTATTATGCTTTAATATTAACATGAATATGATTATGATTATGATTATAATTGTTATAATTTTATGATGATTATAATTATTGTTCATGATTATTTATTATCATTGTTGCTTGATTTTTATTCTTTATTGCTTGATCACCTTTTATGCATGTTAAAGGGAATTGGTACTTGTAATCATGCTTAATAAGATAATTAAAAATCTTGTTTAGGGTTAATATGATTATAATTCAAGTGATCGCCAATAATAGTTTGTTTGTGCATTAAATTCAACCAACATAGATTAAACAGGTTTAGGGTTAATCCTATTGATTGCATGTTAATCAGAAAGCGCACATGAATACAAGCAGAATAAAGTAGAGGCCTATTATTAGGGCAGATTCAATCTCTTTTAGGTTGGATTTGTACCATCATCCCCGAACCCTTATTTGGTTCAAGACCTTATGGAGTTGACGATTTCTTGGATCGTTAAGGGGTGTAACCTTCACCTCGTGAACGGTTTACAAGTTCCTTAAAAACTTGTGTGGCGACTCTTTTGCTCTATCTTCTTCCCTTTTGGACGCCACCGTACTTTAGTGTATGATCACAGTGGGGTTCGAGCTAGTGGGATTTAAAGGCTTGAAATTATTCCCTACAGAGACCGAACACTATTCATAAGGAAATTCCTAAAAGCAAAAATTCCTCACCCAAATTTGGCTTTTATGAGGGTTATAGAAAACTATATGAATTACATGATCAATAATTGCTACATTGCACTGTGTAGGATTAGCAACCCCCTCAAAAAAAGGAAACAGGCATGAGGCATGACATAAAACCAAACTATTCAATTGATTGCTATAGGCTACTTACCAAATGGACTTCCTCCAAAAAAGGACCGGAAGATGTCGAATGGATCGTGCATGCTGCCACCTCCACCCATTCCTTCCTTAAGTGCATCCTCACCATATTGGTCATAGATCTCCCGTTTTTCAGGATCACTAAGGACCTCATATGCATGAGCTAGCTCTTTAAACTACATCATACAAAAACCATGCCCCAGCTTTAGTTTCCCTAAAAACTTCCAATTCAACACAGGCATAATCTTACTATAAAGATCATCACTATAGCCGAGTCGGGTCATAAACCCCAGCTTTCAATAACAAAGTCCTAAGCCTGCAATGTCTAAAACATTCCAAAAGAATCCTACCAATACATGTTATTGAATTGAAAATATGGGAGATGAATAATTAAAAAAAGTGACCTTTAATTCTTCTTCTTTCTGACTCGAGATTTAGTCTGTTTTAATGAAGGCATATCCTTAGTATCCTTTTCTGGAGCCTAATATTTAATCAGGAAAAAACCTAGAAAATAAAAATCAAACATACAATACTGAAAATCAAAGGAACAAAGAACAACTTACTATAAATTGATCAAATTAACGGTAAAAGACATGTAGGAATTACCAAGAAAATGTTGAAGCTTGAAACTCTGCGATATGATGATCAAATTTATAAACTCAACCGCTACAAATTTTGTCAATCAAATGAAAATAGAAGAATTAGGGTTTTCAAATATTTCTAAAAATTGGGGGAAAATAGCAATTGAAAATATGGGAGATGAATAATTTCTGCTTTTCGAAATAGTTCACATTATTTGGATCTAATTACCCAACTAACTTCAATTTTTTAAGCTACTCTAAACAGAAATCCAACAATACACATCCATAAACACGATTCAATCTAATTGCACAAATAAACAAAACCCAAAATTCAAATTCACCAAACTAAACATGTGTAATGGATTAAACATAAACAAGAAAGATACCGGAAACTAAAGGCCTTGGAGGAGCGTGAAACTCACTTGATGCTGCTGTTTAAAAGGTCCTAAAGAGCGGAAAATGTCACTTTACTTGTCACTTCAGTTTCAATTCAAGTTCTCCATCTTCCCTTAATCTGTTTATATACAAAGTTAAAATAATCGGAAAAAACAGTCAATAAAACAGCAAAAATATCATATTTCAGCAAATAAACAAAAACTCCATCATAAATCAGTTAAAAAAAAACCAGAGGGATACCATTAGGACCAAGATAAGAGTGAGTAATGTCGCAAAGCTTTTCACAAGCTTCAATAGTTCGATAATCTTCCAAAAAGCTTATCCGGCCTAGAGAGATGGCATTTGAGATTGATTAAACAGTATAAAAAATAGAAATTTATAAAATGATTAAACTCATCTTTTGCTTGGTCAAATTCTCACTCTACTCGCCCTCTCACCACCAATTTAATAAACATATTGCCCACCTACTTCTTTCTCTTAACTCCCCATGGATAAATCATCATAACCAATTGAACAGGGAGAGCATGAAAATTATCGTATTAACAAAAGATAATCAAAGAACATCACCGAGATTCTGATACTAAGCAGAAAATCAAAACATACAACAAGCAAATATTCAACATTTCTACATTATGCAAGTTGAATGAACTAATAATCAAACACCCATTCACTTCTTTCTTTAAATTAGCCATTAATAAGTCATTTCGAAGGTATAACCAACCAAGAAAATTGGAAACGCAGAATTCAATTGAGAGAAATCATCAAAGAACAATAACAAGATTATATTAACAATATTTAAGCAGAACAAAATTTGATTAAAATAGATCAAGTTAAAGAAAATCATACTGAATAACTCGTTCCAGAATCTTCAACTTGATTAAAATTAGATGATGATTTGGGTCTTTGAAGTGTAATCTTCTCAAATTTGGATTCAGAAACCACAAACAAAAAGTGAATATCTATCAACCTCAATGAAAGCAACTAATGACCAACACATAAAACTCTAAAACTTAGCCGTCTACATTCAAACAAAGATACAATTGATACAATAACATATAACAAAACAGGGATATATCATGAACTGACACAAGTTATCATTGAACTAACTGTTCATCCAAGATTTTTAAGCATTCAAATTCTTAAAAATTCATAAACTACTGTTTCCTTGTAATCAATTAACTGAGTCCAAGTCATGAAAAGTAACCAATTATTTCATTTCATCCTAAGCATAGCATAACACAAGCTATGATACCTTTTGGTGGTTGGATCTAATTTATACATGATCGTAATTCACAATAATAATAAGTACTTTAGTTAGCTCATAATAAACACAAAAACCTCAATAGCTCAAAGACTGAGACCCCGACTTCATCATCGCTGCTTTGTTGGTTTTATCACCAAAATTTCGATTAAATGTCAAACCCACAAATCATCAACTTACATAAATGTAAACATTAAAACCCACAATAATTCTCCCAACAATTCATGAAATAATTGTCTAATAAATTGTTAAAATAAGCCAGCTTTCCCGACTTGACTAACTAAAACTTGCTCAATTAATACAATAATTAAGCAATAAAAACTGTTCCTTAAAAGAAAAACACCAGTTTACCTAAATACACCCATTTGTAGAGAGAGAAAGCGAGGTGAGAGAAATGATTAGCCAAATCAGCCCATACATTTTTCTAATCAATTCAAGCAAAACAACACTACTAACAATAAAAATTAAAGCTGATAGAATTCGAATGAAAAAGAACCAGTAGATCAGAAAATACCTCTTTCTTGATGAGCTTACTGAAGAATTTCTCAGTTTGACGAACAAGTTCTAGAATCTTCAATATCGTGCTCGTGCCATGGCAATTTAGAATCTTCAAAGTCTGGTTTTAATCAGTGTTCAGTGTGCAGGGGAAGGAGAAAGAGCTTAATCAGTGAAAAATACGATAATTCGCGAAAAAAACATGAATTAATTGGAAGAGAAGTTACCCCGTATCTATTTAATTTAAAAAGCAATTAAAAAAATCCTAGAAGACAGTTTTTCAAAAAATCAGAACCTGCCAAGGACACCATTAACTCAAGCTTGCGTCCAATGACTTGAAGATCCAGATTACCGACTATTAGCTTATCTTCTTGATTTCCTTCATAACTAAAGGTCTTGGAGAAGCGTGAAACTCGCTTGATGCTGCTGTTTAAAAGGTCCTAAAGAGCAGAAAATGTCACTTTACTTATCACTTCAGTTTCAATTCAAGTTCTCCATCTTCCCTGTTAATCTGTTCATATACAAAATTAAAATAATTGGGAAAACAGTCAATAAAACAGCAAAAATATCAAATTTCAGCAAATAAACAAAAACTCCATCATAAATCAGTTTTAAAAACAGAGGGATACCATTAGGACCAAGATAAGAGTGAGTAATGTCGCAAATCTTTTCACAAGCTTTAATAGTTCGATATTCTTCCAGAAAGCTTATCCGACCTAGAGAGATGGCATTTGAGATTGATTAAACATTATAAAAAATGATTGAAATTCATAAAATGATTAAACTCAGCTTTACATATATCAATGGAATTCTTGTTGTAGTGTCTGATGACACGGTGAACAGTTTCAGGGACAAACTCAAGCACCAGAGTAAAATAGAGCTCATCTTTCCCAGTTGTGGAAAAGAAACAATGCTTCAAAGAGGTAACATTTGGATGACCCAAAAGGCACATTATTTGCAACTCACCGTATCTCATCCTGAAGGACTTTCTTTATAGCCACAATTTCACCCGATTCCAAGCACCTTGCCTAGACATCCCAACATTAGTAAATTAGTAGTGTTATATAGGGTGGCTTCAAGTCTAAAATAATGTTGCTTATTTGCTTTTGCAAACAAAAGATGAAAGCTTTAAATTAGTTATTGCCAAGTTTACCCGAAACACTACTCCAAAGGATCCTTGTCCGACAATCCATCCAACCATGTAACTCACTGTTTGAAAACACAAGGGCATAATTTACATAAGAGCACATATTTTACAACAGAATTACTACAATGTATTTAAGGCAATCCCATATTACCTACTATTTACTTTTGTCCAATTTAAATGTTTATGCTATTTACTAGATGAAAATGGTCCCTTGGCAATCGTTAGTCATAAATAAGATCAACCACAATCAAAGACGAAGAACACATATTAAGGTTAGCACAAAAATTGATCACAAGAAACTAGGAAGATGACTAGAATTCTAGAAGAGTTATGACTCATGGGTATAAAAAATAAATAAATAAAAATAAAAATCTATAATCCTATATTATATGAGTTGACACGGATTAAAGGACTTGACTAAGACTAGCTTGACAAGAATAAATAAATAAATAAATAAATAAAGAAAGAAAGTTGACGCTAAAAAGTCACCTAAACTGAAGAGGCTGTAGTATATCGATTACAACTTTTGATCTGTGACTCCGATTTGGGAGAAACCAACTCTAAATCAAAGATAAAACTCGGGGCTACGGATCCATAGGTGGCACGACACGTAACTCGTTCTAGAACTCCGGGTATGAACAAAACAAGTTAACTCTTATGCAGTATACGAGAATAAAAAACCGGGTGACTCAAAAATAAAAATAAAAATCTATGGCTCGACTCTAATAATAAAAAAAGGGGGTTTGATAAGAGAAAAAAAATTATTAAAAAAAGGTCAATAAAAAAAATTCACACATAAGCATATAGTCACGCATGATGCAATGAAGTTCGCAACCTAAAGTCAAGTTCTATGTTCGACTATGGTCAAACTTTTGGGTGTCAAAGGGTACCATGGTTAAGAGTTTGGATGCGTTAGCAAGGCATCCTCCTTTGAGGGTGTATGCCAACGGGCGGCTCCACGAGTTCGTGATGAAATCGAACTCGACTCCATGGTTTGGGTGGATTTAAAAACTCGGATGAACCCTTATTGCCATGACCGTTTTCGGGTTGATATAGCATAAATCCCCGGGCTAGCCACATACGTAGAACACGTATTATTGTGGCAAAATAGGTAACCTAAAAAAAAATCATATGCATATGTGACAATGCCAATTAAATCGCAGGAATACAATTCAAGAATCTTTCAAGTCTCATCCACTCATCTTAATTAAATACCGATCACTCAAATCGATAAATAACCAAGAATCCTCCCCAGTGGAGTCGCCAAATTGTAGGCGTCGTTTGAAGTGCGCCTACGTTAAAGCATGTGTAAATATGCTTGGCACTCATAGGAAGTGGGAATTGACATATACGATAAGGGACACGATTAGGGACAAGGAAAGTAGGGAGCCGCCAACAAGTTTTTAAGGAACTTGTAAACCGTTTACGGATCATAAAAGGCAACCACGATAAATGGACAACGAAGGCAACAACGATTGACTCGTGAAGGTTACACCCCATTCATAATCTATGAGATTACTAACTCAATATGGTTCGGAACTACGAAAGGAGGATCGGGGATGATGGTACGAAGTGAGTCATGGAGTCACATTCGCCCGTATTGGCCTCTACTCGATTCTTATAGTGAAAAGTGATTCCTGCGATCTCAAAGGGATACAAACAAAATATTCAGTTTGCTTCAAACTATTATTAGGCTTAATTGGTTTAATATTAATGCAACATATAATTCTAAAATATTGTGATCACTTGATTAAATAACAAGATTAAAAAGGATCCTAAATCGGTTGTCCAAATTATCTTATTAGGCGTGATTTTCAATTACATATTCCCTTTAACATGCAATATGGTGATCATAAAAAAATATAATAGAATAAACATTAATATTGGAAGCAATTTAACAATAAATTGTTAGTCAAATAAAATAATAATGATAACCCTAATCATGATACTAGCAATAAGAATAAAAATAAGAGTAATTAAGTGATTAATTACTCACATTCCGCGTTTCCTTGAATTGCTATATCATGAATAAACTGTTAGTAACTTCAATAAAAATATAAATCAAATAGAAATTAAATTAAATTAAAAGTAGAGTTGATTTGGTTCAAACCCTCAGTTAATTCTACCTTTTCACGCCTTGGTTTAAGGACGGAACCTCGGGTCAAGTATGGACTCCTTGAAGTGCTTAAGGGAAGTGTTATGAAAGAATACGGAGGCTAGTGTTTAGGCTAAAGAGGGAGAAGAGAATAAACTTGTGATCAAGATTGTTGATCATTGGAAAATGGGTGATATGACCTCTATTTATAGGGAAAAAAAAAGAGTCGAAGAATCAAGAAAAGATCGAGTTCGAATCGGATTAAAACTTTTGCGATAGACAACAGTTTTTGCGGTTTTTGTTTTTATCATATCTTTTGATCCAGAAATCGGAATAAGAAGAATAAGATATCGTTGGAAAGCTCTTGAAGTCTATTTTCTAACCCAATTAAAATCAGAATAAAATATTTTGTAGAACAAAATATATAGCCGAAATAGTGAGACGGTGTCATTTTTGGATAGAGTTTAATATCTTATTCATATCTTTTCCGTTATAGCTCGGAATTGATATTATAATATATTATTGGAAAGATAATTTCAAGGGCTATCCAACCATATAAAATTTGGATAAAAACTATGAGGCACAAAAATAATATCTGTATATCTTTGAACGTCTTTCAATTCGGATAGAAGTAGGATTTTCAAAAAGTAAAGTTTTATTCAATTTCAAACTCTTTAATCTTATCTTTTCAAAACGGATAATTAAGATCTTTTAGAAACTTATAGAAGCTTATAATTAATCCTAATTGTTTTAGGAATTGAATTAAATCATTTGGACCCTCCACATGATCATTGGGTCGTAGGTAAGGTGGGCTTAGGTTCGGTTTGAGCTCGGCTTAATATTTTGGCCATAACTTATTCGTTATAACTCGGATTTGGGCTTATAATATATCGTTGGAAAGCTCTTTTAAGGACCCATCCAACTATTCAATCATTTGACCCACATTATAGACCAAAATAAACTGAACTAAATGTTTTTATAAAAAGGACACGAAATGAATGATTTAAAAGGACACGAAAAAAATTATTTTGGATTTAAAGGCACGAAAAGTGGAAAATAAGTTATGGTTTGGGGAAATGGGCAAGAAGTTGGGTTGGTTTATGAAATGGAAATATGGGTTTAAGCACTCCAAGAATAAATACTCAACCCGACCAATAATGGCGGTGAAAGGTGTTCATCATCGGGTTTGGTTTTGGGGAGACATTTTTAGGTGTCTACAATGCCAAATCACTATTCATAAGGATTTTGAGCAAAAAAAAAATAGGCATGAATTAAGGGCATAACCGGTACTTTACTGTTCATAAGCAAAAGTAAAAAAAATGCAACCTTAAACCTTTAATTTGGCTTTTAAGGGTTATGGATTATGGATTATATTGTCAATCATTAAATTTGTGATGTAAGGTTAAACCGAAAGAGATACCAGATATGACTAGTTATGACACGCGCATTGCGCGCGTTAGCTACCCTAGTATTTGGGAAAAGAAAGTGTAAATTTAAACTAATACTCCATATTTCGTACTTTTTAAAACATGTTTACTTTAAACCCTTAAAAGGTCTGCGCTATGGCCGCTATCCCATAATTGGACAATCATATAAAGACTCAACCTATTTATTTATTATTATTAGACGTATCTATCCCTTTTATAACTGTGAGAGCCCTGACAGGTCATAACTAGAGGTGTCAAAAGCACACCCGACTCAATCGATCCGAAAAATATCCGATTCAGATTTGGACTCGCGTGGACATAACAATTTAGTACTCCCTCCGTTTTTAAATACTTTCCATTTCTCCATGCGCGGAGTTTTAGGAGAAATTGGAGAAAGTAATAAAATATGGAGGTAGTGGGGTTGGTAGAAGAATACAAAATTGTAAAAGCAAAAGTAGTGGAGGAGAGAGAATGTGATATTAATAAAATATAATATTTGTTGGGTCACTAGGTGAGAGAAATAAATTAAATATTGTAAAAGCTTACTAAATGAGAAAATAGAACAAATATTTAAAAGCGGCCGAAAAAGAAAAGTGGAGCAAGTATTTAAAAACGGAGGGAGTATGATTTAAGTTTAAAAATTTACTCAACTCGACCCGACCATATCAAACCCGATCTGAATTGACACCCGTAGTCATAAGGGTTCCGTAGTATTGCTCTCTCTCAGATTAGTGAGATATCCATTGAAGCGCACTCAACGTTCTCCATTGAAGCGAAGTTGGCGTTCTCCGTTGAAACTAGTTCTTGTATCCCCCATTGAAGCAGCTTCTGAGGTAAGTTGTTTGTATTTGTTATCATCATATCAAATATCTCTAAAATTATGAGATCGATAATTGAATCAAATATCCCTATGCCCTATAATTATGAATAAAATTTGGTTGCTAATGAATAAAACTATGAATTCAGAGCTCTTTCCCTCCTGCCCTGCCTCAGGGACGGGCCTGCTTGAAATTCATATTCAAATTCATGGTCATGTTGTTATATACATATGTATATATTAATCGTATAATGCATTTAATTAATCATTAGAATTATTATGAATCAATCAATCGTAGGATGTTGGCGATATTAGATTAATAATCGATTTTGCTTTCAAAAAAAGAGAAAAGATTAATAATCGATTCCATTCATGTTGCTGGCTTGGCTTGGCTGTTATATGAATTCAATTTCCATGATCAATTTCAATTCAAATTCGTGTTGTGCCCAAAAATTGATGGTCTGGTTGTTATATTTGTGTTATTTATTAATTAATAATTAGAATAAAGCTTGATAAAAGATACTATCTTTTGTTGTTTTCAGGGATTGAGTTCAATATTTCTGGAATTCACTGCCCTAAACCCTAGTATAAATTCGGATTCGGATATGGATATGCCGTTAAATCCGTGTACTACTAGTATCTTACATGACAATACTGATAGTAAAAGGCTACTACGAGTAGTTGATAGGTTGAGCAATATACCTGATGAAGTGTTGATTCGGATAATGTCTTTGCTTCCGACTAAGGATGTTGCTGCTACTTGTGTCTTGTCTAAGAAACTGATGCGCGTCTTGTGTTTGATCACCACCCTCGACATAGACGATTCACCTATATCTCACTGTGTGCATTTTCCCAATAAAATCCACAAGTTTCCCTCTTTTGTGACCTTTGTCAATAATGTTCTCCAAGCACACCGATCTCAATATCTCACCAGGTTTAGTCTTGGAGTGGGTTCAGACATGCTCCGCAGATATATTTATAGGTGTACGAAGCATTGTTTACCTGATGTAAAACCCGTGCTCATTTGTTCGTGGATCTCTCTCCCCTTAACCTGTTGTGGCCTTAAGGAGCTCGACCTTTGCATTCACGTGAGAGAACCAGATGACGGTCATCCGTTGCCCCCAGAGATATTCACTTGTCAAACATTGGAGGTGTTGAAGCTTGATGTCAATCTCCCTGTTGATCGAGTTTCCACCACTTTTCATCTTCCACTATTGAAACTGCTCCACCTCCGCGTGTCTCATATATATGGGGATGGTAGCTTTGTGTCAAGCCTGGTTTCTTCTTGCCCCTTACTTGAAGACCTCATGGTGGAAGCATTGCTGGACCATGTCCAATCTATTATTATCTCTTCACCTTCTCTTCGGATTTTTTTGTTAAAAATATATACTGTTGAGTGTGATAACACTGACTTTTTGTGTCTTGATACTCCTAATTTGGAGTATCTTCATTACAATTCTAATTTAGCAGTACAGCAATCTATTACAAACATGGATCGTTTGATTCAAGCAAGCATTAATATTTGTGACTTGATAAGGAGTGCACATTCATATCAGGATTGCCGTCAACAAATACTAGGCATCATGAGGTGCTTGACCAATGTTGACAATTTGAAATTGCTCGGGTCGTGCTTAAAGGTTGGTTGGTGTCAATTTCTTATTCTATTGGTAAATAAACTAATTGACTGCTTAATTAGCTTGTTAATATAAAATATTTGGCTGCAGCCTTTCAACGTTGATGGGTTGAAGGATCAACTGCCCATGTTTCGCAATCTGAAATATTTAGAGCTGGGTAATAGAGGATACAACTGTTGGGAAAGGGTGCTGGAAGCATTTCTTATCTGTTCCCCCGTCTTAGAAACGCTTGTTTTTCCAGAGGTGATTCTGTGCTTTTTACTCTGATCTATTAATTCCTACTCTTATGTGATCTGATGTACTTAGGCAATGGTGTAACAATATTATCATTACTGTCACGTACTTTGCAGTTACTTATAGAACGTGCTGCAGAGCAGAGGGTGCATTTGGAACAACAGTTTTGCAAGAGAGGTCTAGCAATCGTTCCTCCGTGCTGCAAGTTTCATCTCAGAAGAATCGTGATTAAGAATTTCTATGGGAATGAACGAGAAATTGGTTTGATCCAGTTTCTGCTGAAACATGCATTAGTTTTGGAGGAATTGCTCATATCTCAATTCGAGGGCCTTTATCCACATTTTCCAATTGTAGATAAGGTGGAACTCCAAAGGACATTACAGAATTTACCAAGGGCCTCACTCACCTGCTCAATTCAAGTATTGTGATCTGATCATCATCATGCTCTCCAACATTAAACTTCTTAATTATATCGTCAACTTGTTATTTATCTTAATTATGTCCTTCCATAAAACTTCTTTATCTTCAGTTTCTGTTAATTTCTGGTTTTATTTCTAAAGTTTTTATTTTGGATCGGATTAATAAGTGTGTTTCTCTTCCCTTAGTTTTCTTGTGTGTGTAGTTTCAAGTCAGATGACGAGAGGACCCCTGCGTATTCTATTGTTGATGAGACATTTCCTCCTTTGCTTTTTTTTTTTTTTTTTTTTTTTTTAACAATAAGCTTGTCCAAATTCCCAAAACATTTTTGTCTTCAATCTATGTATGTTTATTAGGTTGATCAAGTTATATACTCGGTAGGAAATCGAGGTTGTTAGATGAAGAGCAAGAAAGGGGACACCTTGGAGAAGCATATGCAATAGCAATGGTGACTGCATTTGGTTCAAATATGTAATGTAATGTATCCAATATAGTCTCTTTATTTTTCATTTCAGAGGTACTCTTCTTCTTTAATTTGTGTTTAGTTGCTTGTTACTTATCACTCATTGTTATACCTTCTAATCAATTTTTTGTTTAGAGAGAATCAAGTTAGTTCAATAATATGTTCAAATTGTTTAGGTTATCTCTGTTGTCTATATTTTGATGATACAAAGACAATGAAGAAAGTTAGTATTGATAATATTGAAATAAGAAATGAAAAGAAACAGGTTATTTACAAGTTAATTGATGTCAAATAGTTGATTATTCCATATTACATGATTAATGGTGATAAGGAGTAATTATAAACTTGATATAAATAAAGAGAAAGGGACAAGAAATCGCTATGAAGTTTGTGGCCACAGATTATTCCAACGCGCGTGGTCGAACAATTCCTTGAACAAATGCCTTTGATTCTTTGAATGCTTAGATCTATTGAATTTGAATGTATTTGATTGATTTTGATAGTGTTTTGAATGTGTTTTGAGAGAGAATTGAAAGAGAGACACTTTCTCTCACAAGCACACAAGTCACAAAATGAGCCAAAATTGGTCAAAAAGTCGGATTTAGGGGCGTATTTATAGGCACTCTAAACGTAGGAACCATCGTCTCAGCTTTATAAATCGACCTTGAAATCCGACTTTTGAGATCATAGGCATTGCTTGTGAACAGTAATTCCACGAAATTCCTCTTATGCCCTTGATCGTTGATCTATTTTGCGAATTTTCCACTTCGACTTTCCCATGACTTTCTTCTGTCCTTCTTTTCCTGCTTTTGCTCGCTATCACTCATTTTCTTTCACTTTTGCAATCACTCATTCTCTTTAGGGTTATGTGTCATTCGACTTGCTTTCCCGTTTGTTCTCAATTCTGCGTGATTTTCAGTCAGAGATTAGAGAAACAGGTAGAGAATTTGATCTCTTCTTCTCTGAGGTATGATCATCTTTAATTTATTTTTTTAATTTTAATGTTTTTAGCTTGATTTAGTGTTTTTTTATGCATTATGTTGGATCTTGACGATCTGTTGAAATTGGGATATTGGGTGTTATTTTTTTTCTTTTCTTTGATGATATGAGCTTTGTTGGTGCTATATTATGGTTTTAAATGTGAATTTTGGGTTGGATTTTTGTGTTGAGTTTGGGAATTAGGGTTTTATTTTATTTTTAAATCAGAAATGTGGGTTTTGGGTGTTAATTTTTGGTGACTGTTTGAGCATTGTCGGTGCTAATTTACGATTGTTGATGTGATTTCTTGGATGAGATTTTGGTTTATGTGCTGATTTTTGGATATTTGTATTCAATCCAACCACCTTTAACACGGCCCTGCCCTTGCATGATTCATTTTACGTGCTTGCCATCTTAGCTCTTTCCCCATTTGTCTTTCTTATCACTTCCTCCTGTTCTTGTTTTCTGAATTCGCTCGCTATCACTCATTTTCTCTTGCTTTCTCATTTCCCATGGTTATGGCGCATGTCCTTAATCTTTTTTATGCATTGAGCAAGTACAAGCTGTGTGAATTTTAATCCACATAATACTGATCATTACTTGTAGGTTGATCGGGTTCTTTACTCATCAGTTGTTTACCCACATTATTCTGGTTTCATCTCCTGTACCCTTTGCGAGGACAGTGATCCTGTACCCCTATGGATGTGCTTGTACTGATGCAGGTAGCAGATATGCTCTGTTAATTTAATTCTATGTTATGTGTGTAAGATAGCCTTCATAAAATAACTCATGGATGAAAATAACCTTTTTCATGTCATTTTTTTTGTAATTTTCAGGAGCATATACTTCAATTCCAGGTTCTTTCTTTCAAGCTCGGGCTATCAAACTCATGCTTATGATTGATCAGGTGATTCTCTTTTCCCCTCCTTCACCTGTCTTGCTTTAGTAATCTGCAGCATCCTACAACTATTGGGTCCCACCATGAATTGAAATGCCAGGAATTGAATTTCTAAAATTTAATAAGCTTAATTATTTATCATATTATGTGTGTCAGGGTGAGAAAGATGACAAGATAATAGCAGTGTGTGCCGATGATCCTGAATTCCGTCACTACATGGAGCTCAATGAATGTCCTCCTCACCGCCTTGCTGGAATTCGCTGTTTTCTTTTAAGATTGTATCCTTTGCTTGCCGTTTTTTTAGTGATTATTGGTCCCATTTTAGACCTTTTATTCTCTTCCACTTCCATATAAGGTTGCCTTCACAGTAGTTATATATAAGAAGAGCGAGTATAAGACTGCTGCAGTGAATGATTTTCTGCCAGCTGTAGATCCGATTGCTACAATAAAATCTTCAATGTGAGATTTCTAACTTTGTGATAATAATACACGATTCTGCAGTTCCTTTAGTTTCCAACTCTCCGATCTCCACTACTTTTTTCCTCTCATATTGGACATCAATAATGACTTGTGTTTTCTCTGCTGTGTATGATTAGCAACATTGGGGAATACTTTTTATTGCAATTCTGCCAGGGTGTACTTTACTGCACACATTGCAAAGGCATGAGACTAATTAGAGTCACTTGTTTCTTGTGGTGATAATGTTATAGAATATACTTTGCTCCACTCATATATTTAGATTCCTTGCGACTAATTAGATTTTGGGAATAAGATGATGTTTTAGTATACTTTTGTTCACCAAGCAGGAAACTTGATTCTCGAATTTTGAGCTTATAAGGAAATTTTATCATATGTTAGATTGTTATAATGAGTTATTTGCTTGTTTCTTGATACCATTTTTGCAAGTTATAATCTTGTTAAACACAATCTAATCTGTGAGCTTTAATAATAAATATTATAGAATCCATGAAATATACTCTGTTTGTATTGAAGCTAAAATGCATTATCTTTGACTTTTCCCCCTAATTATTATGTTTATTTCGACTCACATCTGCAGATCATATGTGTTGGAATTATTGCTGTTGCATAGGTACTAATTAGTAATTACTGAACTGGGGTGTTATTGTCATAATGGTTATATGTAATAGGGTCTGCTCAATTTTGGTCTTAATGAGATTGAGTTTAAGTGCCTCATCATCTATTATTAATTTGCTTATAATATTATAACTGCATGATTATATAACATGTAATCAGTACTTCCTATGCTTTTATTTTGAGTAATCTGTCATTGCATTATCTGGTTTCCTTATTTGATCATCATGCTTTCACTTTGTGTAGTAATTCTGATGTGATTCTCTTTATTCAACTTTAAGAAAACATGTGTTTATTCTGATAAGCTCATAAATATTGGCATTGTTAACTCTTTTATGCTGTCAAAATTTACTTACTAGATATGCTTTAGAGGAATTGACATTTCTATTAGATTAGTTATGATAAGTATGTTGCTTGTTTTTGGCAAAATTTTTGCAAGCTATAATGTTGTTTATATCTACCTTTGTATTGTCAGTTTATCCATCTAAATTTGTCTGGTGTGTGCTAGCATTGTTTTGTCATTATGGTGGCAAAAGGTCTGTGCTACTTAGGAACAAATGAGAAATTAGCTTTGTGAAGCACTGAAGCTTTATTCATTTATGTCTACATTATTTATAATTTGAGTATACTGAGTAGGTGCTGAGATTCATGCGAATAATGACTACTCTTTCTATAATGAGAAATTGGTTTGATTGTTGTGATTGTATTGCTTTCTTTCCAGGTCATTGAAGTCATAGTGTATTTTAAATTTTCGAATTCTTGTTTGATTTCTTCAACTACTTCTGAAATCCCAAGGTTTCTTCGTTTCAATTCGTTTGCTTGTTGGTTTCCTAATTTCAGTCGTGAAAAACAGTGTTTTTGGGCTATTGGTTTTATGGTGTTCTTGCTTCACTGGGATTATGGCCGAAAGAAGCATAGATCTTGTTCTTAGGTCTCGATAATGCTGGAAAAACCACCTTGCTTCTTAGGAGTGAGAATTTTGATTTTGTAGGTCTGATTTCTAATTAGGGTTTTTGGCCCTTTATATGAGTATTTTAAGATTAGATTTATTTGTTAATGAGCTGCTTTAGTTCTAACCACTAGGGTATCTCTCATGAGATTTTGATATGTGCTACCCTTATCCTACATGGTTGACAATTCATGTCTTATGTAGGATGTGCATGTTATTTCGGGGATCTTTGTTTGATGATAGTTTACTCCATGAAAATATATGTCTGCTTAAGCCTAATGTTAGCTCACTTCATACGAATATATGCTTGTTGATTGAGGAATGTCATAGCGATGACAATACTGACATTGGTCTCTGTTTATACCGGTTTCCCATTGAAGAAGCTGATCCTGGTCATACAAAATTACGCCTTTCAATGGAGGGATTGGAGGCCATTAAGAGAATAACAACACCAATTTCCGCTGTTGCTGTAAGCTAATGTTGTTATTTTGAATATTTCTTTCAACTTAGCCTCTATCCGTTCTCTAATACTGCTCGTTTATCTATTTTGATTTTTTTTCCTCCTATGTTAAGATGGTGTACATAAAATTTTGTCTTTAGCATTACCTGTACAGAGATTATTGATACTAAGCTTCTTGCATATGTAGATTTACGTGTTTCTCTTTACTTCATTGTGGTTATATATTAAGGTGATTGGACCCTATAGATCTGGCAAACCTTTTCTACTTAATCAGTTTCTGTCACTTTCTGTAATGGAAGTAATGTACTAATTTTGTGATACTATATACTTTAAAAAGTTGCTGTGAAAGTATAATAGCTTGAATTTTGTCTAATCATAATTACTTTTAAAACTATTTTCTAACAAGTTTTTGGGGTTGGACACATGCAAGATACTAAAACCAAAGGTATGATTTAATAAATTAGAATTTTACTCTTTTGGAAATATCATGATATTTATTGATTTTTGCTATGAATTGTTTATTTTTCCTGAAATTTCACTATGTAGGTATATGGGTGTGGGGAACCGGTGGAAAAGATGGTTGGTGGTGTCAAGACATCTGTACTTTACCTTGATACAGAGGGATTTGAAAGCATTGGTAAATCAAATGTTTATGATGACTGGTAAATATTGCTCTTTCATTAACTTTGAATCTGGAATTCATTGATGAGTAGGTTTTTGTAAAGCCTTTCTGATGTTTCTTCCACAGGATTTTTGCGCTGACTACTGTAATGAGTTATGTACTTATCCATAACTTGCCTGCGACGGTATGTTTTCTCTACCTGTATCACTCTTTTCTCTTTTCCTTGTCATTGTGTATTTTCTATTTATTAATATTTCTTGTAGTAGTTGAAGACTTAAAGATGGACTCTTTCTTTCGTTTGGCCCTACCTACACAATGATGTATTTCAAATGTGATATTATGATGTACTTGTGCTGCAGAGTGATTGGTATTTACTTGTACAGAGATTATTGATCGAAAATCTCCGGGATATGTCGACCTCTTGATCGATTTGCTCGCTTGCATTCGGGGTATGCCCAATTCTGATTTTATAAACTCCATTAAAGCAGGTTCAAGGATTAAAAGATGGGTGTTCCATTGTTTCTGGGTTTGTGAAGAGCTTCAAACTCATGTTCGTAGGTAGTTTCAGTTTCATCTTGTCAAGTTACTCTATTAATGTTTTTAGTTCCTAAATTTTGCCGATTTTTCTATTTCTTTTTTTATTTAGATCTGATTATTGCTAATTATTGGTGGGTGTTAGTTGTAAAGAGAGTGGTGGTGGACTGGTGGTGGATAAAGATGGATTTAGATGATTTTAGAGGAATATTGGGAAATTCAAGGGTAGATATTTGAGGGATATAGAAACTGCAATAAAGGTAGCATCTTTTGATTATGGAGATTAGCTTAGAGTTTTTTTTTTTTTTTTTTTTTTTTTTTTTTTTTTTTTTTTTTTTTTTTTTGACAGAAGAGCTTAGAGTTAGGAGAGATGGTATTGTTGAGAAATTATACACATATTAACATAATTGGAAGCTGTAGTTTGTAATGATGATAAAAATAATAATGGGTTTGTTACTAATGCTGTAGTTGAGGCTGTTTTTGGGATTGATAGGGAGGTGATTCTTAGGAAATCGAATTCGCCTTCCACCCTAGTTTCGATCCGTGGTAGGGATGATATTGATGAGGAGGCCGAGGACGAGGTGGATGTGGAGGAGTTGGAGCAAAGATTGCAAGGGAGAAGGTTTGTTGAGAATGAAGATGAGGAAGATGATGGGCTTAGGAGGATTCCTTCTGTTAGAGAGCATATTGAAAACATTAACCATGTTGCTTTTCTGTTAGTAATTTGGTATGATTGATTTTGAAGCTCATAGTAATTATAATTATGTGTTTGTTGAATTGATTTAATGTGAGTAGTTATAGTTATAACCATGTTTAGTTTTGATTTGAGTCTCTCTATTTTGATGTGACTATTATTGAGAATTGGGGAAACGGTTACTCATACTTTATCGATCGATAATGTAAAGTAGCGTTACATTGACTTGAGAATTTATGTATATACTGACAACATGGTTGATAATAGTTACTTCGTATTTATGAGCTATAATAAGTGAATTTTAAGTGTTGTAAGTGTTATCAAATCTATTCGGGTAGCTCAAAGGATTGGAGTTTCTACTGTGTTCTTGGATGTGGGTTGATGATCTTCATGCTTAAAAAATTCACAAATTCTTGAGATGAATTTCTTCACCATTGTAGTTTTGGCTTAAATATATTTTTTAGTTGAAAAGTTGAAGGCGTGAAAGTTACGCTTTTTTAGTTGGTCTTTCTTTTGAGAACATTTTTGTGTGTAAGCTTCTCAGGCTGTTTCATTTTAAGATTTGCTGATAGAGCTGGTTGGGCTGAGAAATAGGATAGAAAAGAAAGATGCATACTTGTGAGAACTGGAAGAACAAGTAATTATTCCTTTATATACAGCCCAATTGATTAGCTTATTAGCTAACATGTGCTTTCAAAATGCCATATTTTGTAATTTATTGTCTCTTTTCCTGTTTTCTGTGATTATTTTGCTGATTCTTTTGCTGCCTTGAAGTTCGTAGGATATCAGAACCTCATACAGCGTAATCAACTGCTCTTTGGAGATGGGAATGCTCCTACTGGTGGTGTAGCTTTACCTTTTATTCCAGTTCAGGTAATTCGAAGTGCTGAATGATACCTCTTGCCTAATTCAATTCAAATCTTTTTTTTTTTCTTTTCTTTTCTTTTGCAGTTGTAACTTGTATGTCTTTATGATTCATTCTAAGCAGGATTGAAGCGAATTCAGAGTTTTCTCTCTTTTATTATAGCTGAGGTAACTAGGTAAGGTGTTTCTTCTTTCGTTTCTGTCAATGATGAACTGTAATGGTTTAGATTATTGAATTTTCTTC